CTAGTCACTTCTTCTATGTCAAAGCTCATCTCTCCTCCAAAACAACTCTAGCCGGAAGTGAGACAATTCCGCAATGATTGCAGCGTCAAAAGTAGGAAAGTGAGGTAAAATTAATGGTATGCTTTATCATGTTATACCTACAATACAAAAAACTGCTCATTAAGGCTCACATTGAAAGGTACTGTGAAATACCACTTTCCACTTTGGCACAATACAGTTAGTTTATCTAAGCCCTTTTGAAATGGCTGGTATTTTCCTTAGCATGACTACTAACCTTCCTTTCCCTATGCTAGCAACTTTGTCTTCATAATTCCGGCCAAGAAAGATGAAATTTAGAATGTGTACCCACATGGCTTTCTTCGGGAGCTTGCGTATATATGAGGGACTGAAGTGGGGTTGTCTTGACATAAAACCACGCTTAAATCTGTTTGAAAAGGCTACTTTCATTTCTCAGCGAGTACGCCACCTTCGTTACAATGGTCATTTCCTTCTTTATACGGAATTCAAAATATGAGGTAACCTCAGTTAAGTTATTGCACATTATGTGAAGAAAATTTTTGGAATGACAGAAGTGGTACATACTTTTGATACGAGCAACTAAGTAATAAATTTTGCTCAAGCTGAGCAAAGCATTTGAGGATCGCCGGTACAGAAGGTGTTCGAAAAATTATTTTAGTGTCAAAGAGCCGTGGATGGATAAATAATGATTTCAAGTGGTTTGAAGATGTTTAAGCAACTTACAAAGGCCAGAGGAATAGCCTTGTCTTTTTGACATCCTTGAGCTTCTGCATTTCATCATCACTCAGCGTAAAATCAAAAACATTCATGTTCTCCTTTACGCTTAAAAGTATCATTTGAATTAGTGAAGTAACTTAAGTGTTCTGTGAATAAAGTTGACCTACCGTTCTGGTTTGACAGTCTTAGGAATGACAATTCTTCCACGTTGAATGAGATAACGTAGAAGTACCTGTGCTGGTGTCTTATTGTGTTTTTGTGCAATCTCTTTTACCAGAGGATCTTGTAATGGTACACGGTCTGGCCATGGCATATTCGGCATATTGATGGTTGATACCTAAAACACTTTTTGCAGATTTTATTTTAGATAAATAATTCATCCTATAATGTATGTAAGTATCCGCAAACCTTTCTTCCCGGTGATCCAAGCGGAGCATAGGCTGTGAATGAAATGTTGAGCTTTTTGCATAATTCGTATAACTCATCCTGCGGCCAGTATAAGTGGCATTCCACCTAAGACAGCAGTTCTTAAAAAAGTCATACTGCAGTCTTACAAGGGAAG